CTCAGGAGACTGAGTCTTCTGAAACTGTCAACCTGGGGCAGGTCCTTGACACCTCTGGGTTGTGTGTGTGTGTGTGTGTGTGTTTTCTTCTGTAAATGAGAAAGTTAGACTAGCTCCTTTCTGGCTTCAAGGCGAGAAGTAGAAAGCTTTTGTTATATGCATGTGGATTCAGAATCTGTCCAGCAGACTCAGGTCTGAACCTTGGTACCACTCTCTCTGGAGCCCCAGCTTTCTCATCTTAAAAACTATGATAACATTAAGGTTATTATGAGGATAAGTGATAAGAAGTATTTTGGTTAGCCTGGGGCATGGCACAAGGTAGAAGTCTGTGATAAGCCACAAAGAACGAAACTCCTAGAGAAATAGATGGTGAGTAATGGGTGGTGAGTAAGCGCTATCTGCCCCTGTGTACCGAGTGCAGTGGTTCGACAAGTTCAGGCTGATAGCCGAGTGTAACCCTAGTGAATGTAAATCTTAAAAAGGAAAAGAACAATTCCAAGCTCTTAAAAAGAGAAGGAGGCAATGATTTTTACGTGTGTTTGGATCAAATGGAATTGTTCCACTGAATGTGCACAAGCAATCCCCTTAGGGCTGGCGAACGCAGCCAACAGCTGTTTCTATTTCTGGTCTTCAACTTGATCTCTCCCACTCCCAGCCTCCCAGCTCTCCCAGACCAGCTGGAGGTCCTCCTGGGTGCTTTGCTAAGCTTCCTTTCCCAGAGGAAGCAGGAGTCTGTTCTGCGTTCTCTGTATGTTCTCAGTGATTCCTCTGTTCCATCCCTATGCCCATTACTTTCCAGACAGTCCCCTGTGGGTCCCTTTTGCTTTGAGCTATTGCCAAAGCCTCTGACTGCTCTTGTCTCAAGGTGGGAAGGAATAAATAGGGGAAAATAGGTAAACTTTGACACTGTTGGTTGCTGACCCAACATCAATTACCTTTGTCTTTTTAACTAACTGAACCTCAATTTTGTTCAAAGTGGCTCAATAAAACATTGACTTCAACCTTTGTAGTGGGTGTGGCCAGGTGAAATAGTCTGGCCAATGGGATGTAAGAGAAAGTTGCCAGGAGAGGCTTTTGGAAACGCTCTTTATAAAGCAGTTAATTCAGTAAGTCATACTTTTTGCCCTTCCTTTCACCTTTCCTGGAATGCAGAAACATGCCTGGAGGTGTAGGCTTCTGACAAACATGGGGCTGAAGGCCATGCGTGGTCTAATAATGAAGGAGCAGACAGCTGGAAGTAGGGTGGGTTACTGATGGCACCGTGGAGCTGCCAAACCAGTCCCAGAAGACCTACCTCTGGTCTCATTATATGAAAAGAATAAAGCCCTTGCTTTACTTAAGCCACTGTCTAGTAAGTTTTCGTTATTTTCAGTTTAATGCAAACCTAAGTCATACTACTTTAAGTGGGAAATTAAGATAAATATTTGTTTCTGTCCATGGGAGAAGTGATAAACAACCCAGCATAGGAGGTATTTAAGCAAAGGCTAGATGGTCGTTACTAGGGATATTTACGGGGATTCCTGCAGGAGGTGGGGAGTTGACTTTGGCAGAGAAGCAGAATGTTAATTTATAAAGAAAGTCATTTGAGATAAAGGTGGCTTACAGCGCCTCAAAGTGAAATTCTAATTACCATGAAATACAATTTCTTTATTACTTTAGCATTTAAGGAAGCTACACTTCTAGGTGTGTGATATATTTCTGTTTCCCACATTTTTTCAAATCTATGAAGATTGAAAAAAACCTGCCAATTTAGGAAACAGCAGAATTTCCATACAGTGTGTCAAGTACACCTTAATTAAAAAATGGATTGTTTCATGTCTATCCTTGTAGGACTTCTAATTAGGCATGGCAGGTTGAATACGTGTATCTTGATTCCTTCCTGAAACCTCACTAAAGTTAAGGAAATAAAAAAATGTATAAACCCGCAAAGACAAACTTAATATAAGAGTTTTGAGAAGCAGACAAGTGATGTTGAGACATTTTTATAGAAGATGGAGAATGGAAGAAGGGAAATTAGTAGAGGAGAAACAGATAAAAATTTGTGCCTGCAGCCTATAGCAAACATCATATTTAATAGTGCAATACCGTAGGCTTCCTGCCTATGATTAGGAGAGAGACAAGAATGCCTGCCATTGAATTCTCTACTTCTATTCAACATTGTACTGGAGGTACAGTGAAACCTAAAATAATACCATTTGCAATAGCAGTTCAAACATCAGATGTCTAGGAACAAATCTATTAGAAGCTTTTTAAGATGGCTTTACAAAACACTATATAATGTACTTAGAAGAAATTAAGGAAAATCTAAATAAATGGAAGGATTTACTATATTCATGGATTGGAAGAGAGAATCGTGTAGAGAGACAATGTTGTAAAATTGTGATTCTTCCCAGATTAATTTGGAGGTTCAATACAATTCAATCAAAATCCAAGCAGGTCATTATGGGGAAATTGGCAAGCTGATTCTAAACTTTATATGGAAACGCAAAGGGCCAACTATATTGAAGACCATCCTGAAGAAAAACAAAAAGTTGGCAAATTTATTCTAAAGCCACAATTACTGTGATATTGGTACAAGATAAACCAATAGAAGAGTAGAAAAGAATGGAATATTCAGAAATAAACTCGCATATCAAAAAACCCTTGACTTATGAGAAAATTGACCCTGCAGAGCACGACAGAAAGTCAGTCTTTCACGAGGAATGGTCTTGGGTCAATTGGATATCCACAGGGGAGTAAAATGCATCTGGACTCCTACTTTACACCATTTAAAAAAATCAATTCCGAGTACGTTGTAGAAGAGGGAAACCACAATGCTTCTAGAAGATAACATAGGCAAAACATTCACTAATTATATAGGAAAATATCGATGTTTTGGACTTACATTTATTTATTTTCGGGGAAGATTAGCCCTGAGCTATCTGCTGCCAATCCTCCTCTTTTTGCTGAGGAAGACTGGCCCTGAGCTAACATCCGTGCCCATCTTCCTCTACTTTATATGTGGGACGCCTACCACAGCATGGCGTGCCACGGGGTGCCATGTCCGCATCTGGGCTCTGAACTGGCAAACCCCAGGCCACCGAAGCGGAACGTGCGCACTTAACCGCTGCGCCACGGGGCCAGCCCCTGGCCTTACATTTAAATTAAGAACTTTCATTCGTCAAAGGACTCCAGTATGATAGTGAAAAGGTGAGCTAAAGAGGAAGAGAAGATATTTGCAATACACATAATTGGCAAAGGGCTTATATCAAGAATATACAAATAAGTTTTTCAAATCCGTAAGAAAAAGGCCACAATCTAGTTAACAAGATGTTACTGACGTTAAATAACTTCTTCAAGTAACATAATAATGTAGCAGTTTTCAAAAGCAGAGGCTCTAGTGAGGTCGCCTGAGTTCAGATCCCAGCTGTGCCTTTTACTAGCTTATTGTGTTGCTCTGAGTTTCTTAACTTCATTTACCCCAGTGCCCTACCAATAACAGTACCTACATCTCAAGGTTGTTGTGAGGCTTAAATGGGCTAATATAAGCAAAGCTCTGAGAACATTGCTGGCCTTCTGTGTTAGCTGCAGCGACGTGTGTCATTATTATCAGGGATTAAACTCATATTTATCTTCATCTAAAACTCATGCTCTTGCCCATTACACCATATGACCCTCAGGAAATGTTTGCTGTTCGTCTCCCAGTTCACAGAAACCTTGAATAATTTGCTGCTTATCATAATTCTTATCATCCTTTGCGTAAGTTGTATTATTGGATCAGCCTTTTACTATAAATCCACTCAAGTCATTTTTTTACCTTGGAGTAATACAAGGATGGTGACAATAAATAATTAACCTTTCTTTTTTTTTTTTTTTAAAGATTTTATTTTTTTTCCTTTTCTCCCCAAAGCCCCCCAGTATATAGTTGTACATTCTTCGTTGTGGGTCCTTCTAGTTGTGGCATGTGGGACGCTGCCTCAGCGTGGTCTGATGAGCAGTGCCATGTCTGCGCCCAGGATTCGAACCAACGAAACACTGGGCCGCCTGCAGCAGAACGCGCGAACTTAACCACTCGGCCACGGGGCCAGCCCCCAATTAACCTTTCTTTAATACTGACTGTCTGCCAGACAGGATCTAAACACTTTACATGCAATTTCTCCTGTAATCGCCACATCAACTCTTTAAAGTAGATACAGTTATTCCCATTCTAAATGAGAGGAAACTGAGGCAGAGAAGATTTAAGAAAACTGCCTATCATAGAGCTGCTGAGGGGTACAGAGTAGGCCAGTTTTTAATTCTGTTGATCTCAGAATGTGCCATGTCCTTTCTTTAGGAGTCGTCAGATGTCAATTAACTGATTAAAAAAAAAAAGTATTTATACAGAGAAGTGTAACACTATTCTTCAGGAGATTCTCAGGGACCCAGAATATATTCACAAACAATAATTGAAATTATCCATATTAATAACCAATTTGAAGTATATGCATCCAAATTAACTATTATACTGTATTGCATGTGAGTAGAAAAACCACAGGCAGGCAATACACTAAAATAATAATAGCACTAATTTCCATTTTGTGGGATTAGAAGTGGTTTATATACTTCTTACATTTTTTATTTTTTTCTGCAGTAATTTTACTACAATAACGTTAGTGTTGTAAGCAAAAATATTAACTTAGAGAAAAATTGTATATTGCCACCATTTCCAAATGTTAATTGAAAACTAGTGTAGGTAGACAGTAAAAATGACCGCTAACTTCAGTCCTGCTGAGTCTTTGAGACACGGTCAGTGTCTCAGCTCTCCTTCAAAGCCAAATTTTTGGGTGAAAATTCTGTTTCTAGATGTCAAGATCTTCTCCCCATTTAACCTCACACTGGGACAGACTTTATAGATCTGATCCTCCGTCTTCGGGGATGCGAAATAGAAGAGCACTTCTCTTTGTTGACCTTTGGGGGCGCCAAAGGCCAAGGTGAGGAAGATCACACAAGGCGAGGGAAGGCACTGTCCCTGCTCCGGGAGTGAAAACGTCAGAGAGACACCTGGAAATCAACGTCATTGCTCGGTCTGTGAGCAGAGGGCTTCCTGGATGGATTTGCCATTAATGACTGATGGCAGGAGACATGTGGGGAGTTGGGGTGAGCAGTCAGTTCTGGGCAAGAAGGTAAGCTTTGGAAAAACATCCTGAGATGGGGGAGTGATGCTGGGGAGCCAGGTTTCTAAGGGGAGGGGAGGAGTCCGGACTCAAGGGCAACAGGTTTATCCAGGTTGCTCAGTCAAGGACCTGGAGAGGTTTGGTCAGCTCCCGGTCCTATGCCAAAGATCTCCCCCGCAAAGGCAGAGACCGGCAGGGAAGAGGTGAAGAGACTCTTGGCCGCAGCCTTGCAGACTAACTCAGCCGCAGCTGGTATGGAGTTGAGGGTACCGGAACGAACACAGCTGCAATGGGGTCGTGATGTGAACTGTGTTAGGGACAGAGCAGGGACTCTTGAGTCCCTGAGACTTTCCCTTCCTTTGCCAGTCTCATGCTGGCATAGGTTGGCAGTGAGACGACCCTGGGGAAACACATAAACAAACAAAACCCTGAGGTCATCTCCATCCACCCACCAGTTCAACTCTCCCCATCCTTAGCACCTGCTGCCGCCACAGTCCAAGGCAAGACTCCCACTGGCTTCTTTCTCTCCCATTCTAGACTATGATTGTTCTGAGACTTTGCTTATTCTCCTCAGAATCTGGCTGGATATTTATTTTAACTAGATTTTGCATTTCCTTGGAGCAAGTCTGGCTTTGAAAAAGGACAGGGAGAAGGGTAGGGCAGAGGTGAAAAATGTGAAGGGAAAACTGTCAGAATGTGGCAAAAGCCAGGACTTGGTGAGAGAAGGTGAGTTAAAATGATCTGGAGGTTTTTCTGTGAGCAGATGAGTGGGACGGGGCCCTTGGTACCCCCATATTGTCCTCAGGGCTTTACTTCTTTGTGTTCTGACCTTAGTTAGGAGCACATGGGGTCATCCATAGTTAACAGGGAAGAGATCTGGTCTGGGGGCGCAAATGCCGGAAGACAACAAGGATTTTGGTCTTCTGTAGAGAAAAGTTCAGTGCCAGGTGGAGGAATTTCTTACACACAGACACACAAAAGTGAAATCTCTCAATATTATAGATGGCAATATTTTAGGAGATAAATGACAAAACTAAGGTTTATATGGCTTGATTTGGAGCACCAGGGTATTTTCTCCCTTTCAGAGTCAGGCATTCATTTCTAAAATGGGTAAAGAGCACAAGTTGATGGTGCTGCATCTTGGTGTCCTGCCATGTTGTGCTATTTCAGTTGATTGAGCAAACTTGTTCACAGCACATCCCAGAAGTTCTGCTTTGGCTGAAACTCTGGGAAACAATGGCCTTTTTGATTTGACGGTTGCACAAAGTGGGAGGGAGAAGGATGCTACAGGATTGACTTTCCTCAGTAAAGGGTCACAGGATATTGAAGATTTTATGATTACAATAGCCTTATAGATGATCCTTCCAATAACGTGTATGGCCTTTCGGTTTCTTCTCTTCTCCAACGATCTCTTCTCTACCTTCCTTCCGCCACTCACTCCCATGGTCAAGCAGCTCTTGACCAACCACTGAAAGGTAGAGGTGCATGCAAACCCAGGTCCCTTGCCTTGAGTCAATGCAATTCTGAAGTGTTACCCAAACTGCCGAGTTTCCCTATGGGATCAGGAAGTAAGTACCCTCTGTGAGATTTTGCCTGAGTTCGCACTCTTGTTTGGCTTCCTCCCCTCCCTATTCCACTTCCTGCACAACTTCACTGTTCTCCCAAGGTACTGAGTACAGTGCTTTCCCAGGGCCCTCTGCTGGCTTCCCAAGGTGCTTTCCCAGTAGTCTGTCTCCAGGTCTATTTTGGGAACTCCAATCTACGGCAACATTGATCAGCAGCAGCTGCTCACATCAAAAAATGAGAAACAACCAGGCTGTAAGTGCCTCGACAACCGCCGATTGAAGTATTCTTGCCCAAAATGTCAAACCTGAATCTTGTCTGGATCCAACTGGTAGATTCAGAGGAAATACGGAGGACAGGAAATCCTGATAATCACATGACACCACAGGGACGTGATTAGAAAAATACAGACTGGGGCAGACTCTATAGGGACAAATGACCTGAGTCCCCTAAACAAATAAATTACAAGAAAAAATAGAGATAGGAAATCTATAGATTAAAAAAGAAATCTTAAGGAACATATGAGTTAATTACAACTTTGTTTTACTTCTGATTCAAACAAACTATAAAAATAAACACGGCATCTTATGAGATAGATATTTGAGCACTGAGTATCTCACATTAAGGAATTGTTAATTTTTTTTCTGGAATATGATAATAGCTTTTTTTTTTAGGAATCCTTATATTTTAGAAATACATTCTGAAATATTTACAGATGAAGTGGTCTGATATCTAGAATTTTCTTCAAAATAATACAGACCCCTCAGAGAGTAGTGACTGCTGCTTCACTTTGGGTTTCCAATTTCCTGAAAATTCCTTTTTTGGCTAACTCTAATCTGGAACCATACGAAGAAAGAGATTCTGGGATATATAATTCCAGTTTGGTCAAGTTAACTCAGTTCACAACCACATGCTAGGTAATCTCGTTTTGTCTCATGGCTTTAAATTCTACCCATATTCTGATGATTAACAAATTTATAATTGCTACCTGGCATTCTCTGATCCAGACTTATGTCTAATTCCCTGCTTAAATCACACTTGGATATTTAATAGGTTTTTCAAACTTAACATATCCAAAAACTGAGCTCCTTATCTTCTTCTCTGAACCTGTTCTTTCCAGAATCTTCCTCTGAGGAAGAGTCTAGGTGTTCAGTCCAAAAATCTTGGGATCACCCTTTACTCCTCTTTTTCCTGCCCAACAAGTGATCTATCAGAAAATCCCATTGGCCATTCCTTCAAAAAATATCCATTAACTACTACTTCTGTAGTAGGCTGAAAAATTGTCCCCTAAAAGATATTCACATCTTAATCTCGGGAATCTGTGAATGTTACCTTATACAGCTAAAAATAGGTGGGAGGAGTCTTGGCAGATGTGATGAAATTAAGGATCTTGAGATGGGGAGATTATGTAGGTCAGACTTAAATATAATCTCATGGACTCTCATAAGGGGGAGGCAGAGGGAGATTTGATACACACTGAGAAGAAGGGGATGTGAAGATGGAGTAGAGAGAGGTTGGAAAGTGCTGGCCTTGAAGACTGGAGTGATGTGGCCACAAGCCAAGGAATGCTGGCAGCCACCAGAAGCTGCAAGAGGCAAAGAATGAAGTCTGGAGAAAGCACTGCCTTGCTGATACCTAGATTTTGGCACAGTGATACTGATTTTTAGACTTCTGGCCTGCAGAACTGAGAGAGAATACATTTCTGTTGTTTTAAGCACCAAGTTTGTGGTAATTTGTTACAGTAGCCACCAGAAACCAATACAACTTTTTACCACTTCCTCAACAACAACCCTGTTTCAGAGCACCACCGTCTCTTCCTGGATTGTTGCAGTGGTCTCCTTTCTAACTGTCTCCCTGCTTCTGGCCTTGCTCCCCTCCCTGTAGTCTAGTTTTAGCACAGCAACTAAGTGAACCTTTAAAAATAGGTCAGATCATGTCACTCCTTTTTCAAAACCCTTCAGTTGCTTCCCATTTCATAGAGTAAAATCTACAAGTCTCATAATAGACTACAAAGCCCTATGTAATTTGGCCCCTTTCTACCTGTCTGACTTTATCTCCTACACTCCACTTTAGTAACATTAGCCTCCTTGATGGTCCTCCAGCATTCTAGGTGTGTCTCTGCCTCAGGACTTTTGCACTTGCTCTCCCCGCTGCTTGGGTTGCTCTCCTCCTCCCTCCCATAGCCATATGGCTTACTTCTTTGCCTGAAAGCTGAGACCTTCTCTGACTACTCTTTTCAAAATACCAGGCCTCCAACCTGACTCACTTATATGTCCTAATCCTCTTCCCTTCTTACTTCTTCTATAATACATATTGAATTCTGACATATATATTCTTGTTTAGTTGTTTGTCTATGCTCCCCCACTGGAATGTAAGCTCTGTGAGGGCAGGGATATCTGTCTATCTAGACAATTTCACTATTGTATCCCTAATGCCTAGAAAGGGCTATGGCACATAATGGATGCTGAAGAATAATTGTTGAAGGGATAAATTATCCAAGAATGCCAAGTTAGTTTTATATTACAAACATTTTACTCCATTAAAAGATCATGCATTGAGTTGTAATAAGCAATTACCAAACTCTTTCCTTGATTTCATTAATATTCTCTGGAGACGGTATGCTTCTACATTTCCAAATGTCACTCTGGTCAGCAATGGAACCAAATATTGGATTCAGTCATAATGTAAATAATGGGACAATCATGCATTCCAGAAATGGAGGCCTTCTCTCCGTTTCTGTTTTCCCTATTCCCCTGCTTTAGACTGGGAGGAAGGGATCAAGTGGGAATTGGGTACTCCTTTAAAGTGCTTTCCCAATCTAACAGCCTTTGATTCTGTCTGTGGGCTTAATGAGCAACATCCCTTTCATTCATCCTCCCAGCTCTGTGGTCCCTCTCTTCTCATTCTTCCTCTCCCCAGTCACTTCCTGTCACAGCAACGGTTTTAAAATTAAGCTCCAATTCTAAAACAAGTGAAGCAAAGGCAGGAAGGGGGAGATGAATTGGAGCATATGGGAACGGTTTTGTTTGAGAGCGTGATCAGCATTCTTTGCAAACAAGCTCTGGCCATATGGGGCAGGGTGGGCGTAGAAGGAATTTTTAAAATACAAGTGATAAACTGTGATAAATGTCTGAGTTATAAAGAGAAAGCTCACTAATGATTGATTTGATAGTAAGAAGTGATACTTTGAATGAAGTCGCTCTCTAAGAAGACAAGGTATTTCTGCGTCTTTTTTTAAATCAAAAGATCACTAAGGGGTAGCCTGTGGTGAGTTAAAATACTTGCCTCGTACTGACAGAGAAACTGGACAGTTGGTTGGGACTTGTGTCTTGGCTAAAACCTAGGTCACTTGAATTCAAATTTATTGTTATACTAATAGAAAATTATTTTTAGAACCAGATCTATTGCTTCTAGTTGCTCATCCCTACAGAATAGAGGAAAGAGAT